TCCCCTCCCCTCCCCTCCCCTCCCCTCCCTCTTTCTTTCTTCCCCTTCCCTTTCCCCTTCCCCTCCCTTAGCAAGAGAATGCGATCCTAACGATGGAGCAGCGGAATTACTTCTCCCTGTACTGCCTCCATCAAGAGACGCAGCTCATTCACATCTACCTTCCGCTCACCTCTCACATCCTGGGCGCTTTTGTCAACTCTCAGATCCAAGGCCACAAAGAGGTGAGTGCCTCTGAGGCAGGGGGTCCCACCAGCCAGGAGGTCTGGCAGGCTTTGCTTTTCTCTAGCTGGTGTTTCCAAAGCAGCCAAGGGCCCCCAAGGGCTTCTTAGGAGTAAACGTCTGTTGATGTGTTCTTGCAATTCTGGAAAGAGAAGGGCAGCGTTTTCGGAGGGCCCTTGTGTGAATCTTCTTCTTGCCCAAAACGTATCCATGATGGAGCACTTAGTACAAAATTTCAGCGAGAGTCTTTCAGAGGTTGGCCTTCAGCTGCCATTCTGCTTGTCCTCCTGCTTTGCTTTTTTGCTCATTAAGTAATCATGGAATTTTTTGGGAAAAGTTTCTGTTTTCTGCAAAGTTTATTTCTTCTGTGATTTTTGCAAGCCTTGGAGTTTCCTCCTTGTGGCGCAGTTGGCATCATTTTGACAACAAATTCGCGCAACTCAGTGTCAAAGAAGAAAGGGTGAGATTAGCGTGCCTTTATTTGTCTTCCAAAGTGTATCTTGGGGTTTTTTTTGGTTGTGTGTGTGTGTGTGTGTGTGTGTCCTAGCTAGTGAAGTAGACATATCCCATCATTGTTCATTGTTGAGTCACTTTTCACAAACCGTGTATTCACATACTTTTAATGTAACCCTAGTGAATCTGTTCTTTGTGTATCATGTTTTTCTCAGGAAAGTCATGACTTTCAAGACTTGAAAGAAAATGATGAGGATGATGATGATAGAATATTGGACTGAAACTGGGGAGACCCATGTTTGAGTCCTTGATTTTCCAAGGATTGCGAAATATAAACCTGGGCACAAACCTTCCTAGATGATTTTGGGCCAGTCGCTTTCTGTCCCCCCAACCTATCTCACAAGATTGTCATTGGGAGGCCAGCAGGAGGGTCTGATGTCCATGACAACTTCTGGAGGTTGTCTGAAGGAAGACAAGATATGAACCTAAGAACTCAATTGGGGCTTCTGTTGGGGGGGGTTTAATAGTTGCCGAATCTTGCCTTTGTTGTGGCCCTTGGAGGACCTTTCAAGAGTCACCCAAGTGACAGGTTGTGCCTTTCTCCTTTCCTCTTGTAGATGAGCAAAGTCTGGAACGAACTGAAACCCAAGCTGAGCTGCCTCTTTGCGGGATCCAGCAATGTGCTGATGTTGCCCCTGTCTGCCCAAGAGGACAATTTTCTTCCCAGTTAATGCTTTGGGATTCAGGATGGGAGGAGCTGGAGGGAAGGTCTGTCCTTGCCACTGACTGCTCCTATCCAGGTATTAACAATATTCTCCTCTTGGCAAGTCCTTTTTTGCCTTCCAGGGACTGATTTGAAGGGTTCCATGATTTAGAGGAGGCCTGAAATGTGACTGTACAAAGGCTCTCTGGTGTTTATCATTTTTGATTTCCGTGGTGGAGGCCCACGTCAGGGCTGCTCAGATTTTGCGATGCTGCAACCTGTCGAAATTGGCAGATGAGTTTGTGGGACTCGCCCCTCGTCCAGGAATAAAACAAATAATTAGGATTAGGGTTGGGCAAGACATATACGTACCATTGATTAAAGGGCCTGTAACTTCCTTAATCGGCATTCCCAACATCCTGAGCTTTTCTCTTGTCGCCCAACCAACCCATTTCCGCTTTGAAAAGCCAGACATTTAAAGGAACAGAAATGTAACTTCACTGACATATACGCTTCTACAGATGCTGTGGAAGGGTGGCTATATTACGACATGCCCCCTGAGAAATTGCCAGCTGACTCACAGATGACTAGAGCCATGAATTTAGCCATCTCTCAAAACATACTTCCAGCCTGCCTCCATTTAAGTCTCTTAAACTTCTTGGTGTTTCTTAGAACCAGTTTTGAATAAAGATAGATAAATCTCTTCAAATAGTGGTTTCAGAATGGCAGGATTAGGAGTTTCTCCCCAGAACTTCTGACTCCTGTTTCTAGTGTGGTTTATCTGGAAGAGGCAAGACTTTTTTGTTTTCTTGTCTTATAGTTAAGCGGGAAGCCAAAGTTGTACATTAATTAACAGGGAATTAATTCAGACCGGCACCCTAATTCAGAGTGCGTGCATGCCCAACTCTGCCATTGGGACCTAGACTTTTTTAGGACCAATTTGTAGCTCAGCCTGGCCCTGAAGCTTTCTCCTTGCACCTTTGTCAAAAGCATCACTTTAAGCCTGCTGCTGACGACAAAGCAGGCTGCACACCATTCAGAACCTCACGCCATCCACATTTCTGCTTGCTTTTGCAGAAAAAAAACTGACTTGCTTTTTCTTTTATATGTCGACACAGAATATTTTTGGGAAAAAAACCTTTATACTGGAGATTAAAACCATTACTCTTTTTTATTTCTTTAGTTAGCAAGTTTTTTTTTAATGAACAATTCAGATAAGCTAATTGTTATTATCCCAGCGAGGCAGGTCTGCGCCCTTTTGCACAAAAGCACCGCTTTTGGAAAACAGCCATGTGAGAAGACCGTCTCTGCTCAACCCAGCAGGCCTTTAGCAAAATGGTTGAGCAATAGCTCTGCTGGGTGCCACTGCGTACCTCAGGCACATTTGCCATGCTCTTGCACATGCCAGAAAGAGGGTGTGGAAAGGTGTGAGAAAGGGAGTTGTGCTCCAGTGGGGTGTGTGAGAAAATAACGAATGATTGTCTCTGTCCACAGCTCTCATAAATGACAAATGTGGCTTCTGTCAACTGCAAGACCTTTGTGGGGAGGGCAGAGTAATAGCTAAGAATGCACATAGCACTCTGTGCCTTTAAGCATGGGGCTGATGCCGCCAAAGGCACTTTCCCCCAGCGGGTAGTTTATGCTTAATGCATGCAGATTTTTGCACACGTTAATGGCGCCTTTCTTCCCAGTTAGAGCACTCAGACAGTGCAGATGGTGGATATCGCTGTCCCCAAAGTAAGCCCTAAAGCTACCTGGGTCTTCTCACTCCATGATTTCATTTTACCAGTATGATGGTGTGAATGTCTTGTAGAATCTAGGGCCTCCTGTTCTCAGAGTTTAGAAGCCAGAGACTAGGTTCCCACAACATGTTAAGCCATTATATAGTTTGCTTGTTTGTGCCTTAATGCGTGGTGGTTAGCCAGCCATCATGGCTTGTGAGCCATGTGAAGCTAGCCAAATGCAATTGATTCAATGAGCCATTGCTTAAGCAAATCACAGGGTAAGGTGACCCACTCTCCATACAGATCTGCCTCTTAGCTGATTTTTCTAAAATGAACTTTGGAAATCTAGGATAAGGCGCGGGATGATTTAGCAGACTTCTTTAAAAAGAAGCCAAGTGGCTGCTATCTAACAGACCAAACTCAACATGGCTAACATTGCCATCCAGACCTAGTACATGCAGTTCATTTCAATGGGGTAGATATGCCGGCTTAGACACGGCACCGTATGTGGCATTTCGCCAGCTTTCGAAGACAAGTTTGTGTCCAGCATTTGCAGAACCCAGTTCTTCTAATATGCATCTCCATACCTACATTCCTTTTGAATTCAGCTGAAGGAATTCAAACCTAAGAGTATAAGAGGTGCAACCATGGGGCATGTTCCTTGCCCTGTCCATAAACGTTCCTTGTCATACCTGTCAAGTAAAGACTTACACCAAAGCTTGGCTGAACTTGGTGACTACATGAGTATAGCGCCTTCTTCCAAGATGTCTTTTTTGACTTCCCACACAAGATAATCATCTAACCAGAATCAGCCCTGCTTAGCTTCAGAATCTTGGTAAGGTTGGCCAGGGGCTACCAGCTGCTGGGGTCATATAAAAGGACAAATCGTTGCTTGAATCATGCCTAGTTAAACAAAAGGACAGCTGTGAAAGAGCCTGTCCTGCTGGATAAAAAAAATCCAATTTCTATGAGGAAAGCCACCTCTTCTCTATAAGAAGAGAGAAGGTCATGTAGATTATTTTTGAGGAAGCTCTATCTAAAGTGGACCATCGGTAAGTGGAACACCTTTTAGCAAGATGGTTAGGGCTTAATCACAAAAGCAGCTGTCCGAATGGATTAAACACCAAACTCTCAGAAAAGTAATGCTCTTTTTATGCTTTTCAAACGATGTTTTTGCTTAAACCAAAAACGGATGGGTGGTGGGTGGGCTTCCTCCCGTTCCCTGGCATTTAATTTGGAATTTGTAAAAGAGTGTCTGCTTTGGAAAAAAAAAAAAAAGTATTGTTTTTAAATGAAGCACTTTATTAAACTGCAGGAATTGGAGAACGTCTTATTTACAGTTGGTGGGCTTTCAAAAATGTTTATGGATTCTGACCTTCCCCTCCCCCGCAAAAAAGTTGCAAAAATATGTATTTGTAAGAGATGCATAAAACTTGTATAAAAAGGTTGAAAGTTTATTCTAGTGCTGAATGCATTTATCTGAATGTGTGCGATCAAGACATTTTCTTCATGATATTTAGGATGTCCTCTCCTTTCTTCTTCCTGTTTGACAATATTTTTCCAGAATCGTTAGTTTGGGATTCTGTACATGAATAAGTCATTTTTAGGGTTTTTTTCCTCTAGAAAACTCAACCAACCATGAGTTGGCAGAAGGGTGGCTTTGCTACAGAGTCGATGGTGATTCCTTGTCTGCCCACGTGGGCTTCACGTCCCAGCCAGGGAACCTGTGACACCTTGCTTAGGTCTCCTCTTGCATCTTCTCCACCTCCTTCAGGGTATATTCTAAGATGGTCTTCTGCCCTTGAAACTTAAAATAGCCCAGAAAAAATTTCTTGCGGAGTAGAAGGGGAAACCAATAAATATCATCTGGCCACATGTCCTTGAAAGGTATCTGGTCCACTTCAAACCATTGAGGGCGCATTTCTGCAGTGGGGGAGAAACATAGTACAGGGGAATCGTTAGGCTCAAACTGACCACTCTTTCCCCAGAATTGCCTCAACTCCCCCCCACCTGTCTTTTGTACATGGTTTCCAAGTATGTGTTCCACCAAAGATGAAAATGAGACAACAGAAATGTTGACATGTCTCAGACCCTTTTTCGCTCAGCGTCGTTTGGCTTCCAGGTCTGATCATGCTAAGTCGTAAGGGGATTTCCTTGAGTTTGACTTAGCGGGGGTGAGAACCTAGATTATTGTGGCTTAAGTCAATAATGAAAGAGAGGGCAAGCGCTGAAGTCAATGAGGGGTTGAGAGATGGATCCCCAGTGCCGGTAAAATAAGCCTGCATTTGGTCTGACACATTTCGGAAAATGGATTCCTTTTCCAAGAGCGCTTCTGGATATCCGTGAACTAACTGATTGGTGTGCTCTGGAAACTGGATTGCCACACCTCTTAAGATCCTAGTTGGGATGGGTGGGGAAAGTGCTGACCAAGCATAAAAATGCAATTTGGGGGATAAAAATTGGAAAAAAAAAAGGCTAACGATCTATTCAGGGATGTCCACAGGGTGGAATCAAGAAACTCAAGATGGCGGTGATGGTGTGATTGATGCTGCCTGTTGGATGCACACACAAAAAACCCCAAACCCACAATGGCAGCTTTGATCACACTGTGACAGCCGCCATCTTGACCTTTCTGACCGCACTCTGTGGACTTCCCTAACTCTGCTGTCACGCCCACCCACTTTCCTACCATCGCTTTCGGTGGGCTCTCCATGAAAACTGTCAGTGCAGAAGATATGGACTTCCATCAGCTCGGGGTTGCCCACAAACTCAAACGTAATTTGGCCCATCTTCTGTAAGGTGTCCACTGTCAATCCACTCTCTTCCAGAAGCTCCCTGAAAATAAAAAACGGGAGAGTTTGCAAACCTGGAGATTCTATCTATCATCCATCCATCCATCCAATTTATATGGCCACCCATCACACAAGAAGTGACTCTGGGCGGTGTACATCAAAAAATATAAAATAATAAACATGTCAAACAGTCATATTAAAGAAAAGTATCTGCTAGATTTAGACTATGAGCATGAAATGCACACATTACAACCCAAAGATGAGTGAAGAGAGCAACCAACAAGGTTGCAGTTTTGACAATCAGCAGTCTCTAGCTCAGTGTTTCTCAACCTTGGCAACTTTAAGAGGTGTGGACTACAATTCCCAGAATTCCCCAGCCCCCCCCGCTCGGCGTGGGGGTTTCGTGGAAGAAAAGCCCCTCCTCCTAAATTTACCAAGGGGAGAAAAAAAACCTCAGGAGGCTGTTGAT